ACAATGTTATTATTCTGCATCCGAGGCTCAAACTATTTACCTTCCTTGAATATCCGCAAGAGCTCCGCAGCGGCAGCGGAAGAATGCTTCGGTTCGGTGAAATTACTATGCCTGGTCCGAGGTTGTACTCTCGTAAATTGCTGCAAAGTGCGAGGCAAAAAGAATAATAACAACACCTGTAACCTCGCTTGGTTTAGTTGATGATCTAGTTCCAGTCGACATTGACATTAAGCCGGGACAGTACTAGACTCATTCTCGGCAGAGGTTTAACTTTTAAAATTTAGATTGCTCTAGGGGAATAGGGATAGTGTCTCTATCTATAGGAACTGGACAGGTGGCTAAGTGTCTTGACCTTGAGGTATAGATTAATTATTTATTAAAGATTGATTGCGCAATTCATTTCGGGGTATGTATTAGATAAGAAGATTTCATGGCTGCATATGCGATTTGCGTACTTTGATACTGTTTAAATTCCTACGGCCGAGGATCGGAATGCGGATAGTATTCCAATACATTTGGTATCCGTAGTGACGGGTGCACAATGCCTCTTGTTATTGCCAGTTAGCCAGTTCTGTTAATATTACCTTGGCCCAAAGATGGTTAAACTTTCTGTCTCAGACCGTTGGCGCGCTCGACGATCCCTTCGGAGAAGAAGCAGAAAGAGGCTTGCTGTGATTCTTCCGAATCGCTGGTGTTATTTCGTATTCTTATTAAGGCCCAATCTAGGAAAATAGATTGACAAGGTGATTCTCCTTTAAGATTATTGCTAGTGTAGATGGAGAAGACCAGCTCCCGCTAACAAGGAGTATATGCGCGGCAGATGCAGTAGTCAAATGGAGTCAGTCCATGATCTACTCCCTAAGTGTTGATTGTAAATACAATCGCATCGAGACCTTGTGTCTAGATAATCCTTGGCGAAATATGTCGCCCTTTTAAGCTTAGAAATTTGCAACTGGTTTATTCGGACAATAATAATGGAATGTCCATAATCAAGCCGAAATCAACAGAACTCGGTTGAATATATGGTTCTTTTGTGGGTGCAATTGTGCACATTTGAAGAAAAGATCTCCTCTGTCCTTAGGAAATTTCGGTATATGTTCGGGAAAACTGGATCTGGTGGACTTAACCGCACCAATGATGCTGGTTGCAAGCGGTCCTTTATCCAGATTGGGCAGATGGTTTGATGTTCTGCTAGTTTTCTTCTGGTTTGTTTCTGAGTTTCCAACTCCCATTTGAGTTCGGGACCATGGTTGGTGTTTAGGCTTCGGAGTCTGAAACCTTGAGCCTCTCACGCCCGGAATTTGTCACCGAGAGCGACGATCATGAGCATGGCAGCTCGGTGAGACAATCACAGTCACCAAAATTGGTGGTTTGAGGCTATTAAGATAATGCTGTCAGATCACTCAATGACGATTGGTCAAAGTTCAGACACCAGAAAGAAAAGAAAAGAGACTGAAGAAGACTGGAGACGGGACATGGACCGGAAATTCCGAATATCATGACGGACGGGCACGCAGATCGGATCGTCCTGGCCCTCAGAGCCGGCCTTTCTCCGGGATGTGCGCCGTAGACCTAAGTACAGTAATGCTCAGAGTCAAGACTGAGATTACTCCGCAGAGGCAGTAACTAATCATAACAGCCGGTACAAACAGAGAGTAAATAAGTGAGAGCCAAGGATCTTTGCCCAAACCCCAAGTCCGAATTCTCAATACCTTTGGACTCTTTCGAAAGTTGGATTGAGCCCACTTTCGACGGTTGCCCGATACTAGAGTTGGCAGTGGGTTTGGGAGGTATTTCGCCGAATGGCTGATTGCAAGAGCTCTGGGTCCAGTCTAAAGATAAGCCCTGTAGGCCTGTGGGCATCTGGCTCAGCTAAGAGCCTAATTCCGGATAGGTTGAATTGGCCGAGGAGCTACGGAGCACCACTTCCTGTTCTCGATGGATTCAGGATTCGATCTTCCCCATCGGCTCCATCGACGTTCAGAATTTCTTCCCCCAATCCAAAAGCAAATAAGTAACCTGAAAGCCGCTGTCCGGCCGATACTGAAGTGGACAATAATGGATCCTCCATAGTCAGTGGCGTGAAATTGAATCAACATTCACTCGGACCATGTCATGGTGAAACTATCCTCTTACACACTTCGGCAGTTACCATGGGCTGCGTCTTCCGTAGATAATAAGCGCACAAGGTTACAGCTATGGAGTCGACGATGGAAAGGTGCTTGCATTGTAAGTTGTAAATAAGAGGAACAGTTGAACTGCCGTGCCCTGAGCCAAAAAACAGTCCGGCATGGTAAAGACTAGTCGGCAATAAGAACAAAGTTATTTACAATTGCCGTTCCCAAGGAACAGGCTCGTAACTGAGTTCCACCTGGGGGATGAGGATGCTCATTAGGTATCTACTCCGTAGATACTCCGTTCTGTGGAAGGCAAATGCTGGATCGGAGATGTTGCTTACTTGGGTTGTTGAAGGAATGGGCAGAGTAATTGACATTACGCGATCATTTGGTGGCTTTCTTCTTCTGTTGTAGATGGAAGGATATAGACTGCAGTTGTAATCTCCGATACCTACCTAACAAGAAGGAGTGTATCCCAATAGATGATGTAGACACGCGTACGGTTACATATTCAAGGTACAGGAACAACATGATCTTACGTAGACATTAATGTCATGGGAATACTAAGTAACTATAGAGAGGTACTCCGCAGTGAATTGCATGATCAAGATCTGAATTCAAGTACACGTCTTATCTCAACTCGACTGCTCTCTAGCCTATCGACGTGCTTGAGAACCCCTGCGGATCCTTGAACATCAGTCTGATCTGCCAACACCACCTTGTTCCCATTGGAATTCAAACACTGGGACGTTATTCGGAATGGGAAATAGTCGACCATCAAGCTGATTGTCCTTCAAGGACGAGATATTTACAAGTCTCGGGTGATCTCCTAAGTATGGAGGCATTTGCGTCAACCAACGAGAATACCTTGACTAACAGAAATGATAACTAGAATATTATTTATTATTATCACTATTAGTTGGACTGGCCTAGCACTAACAAAGACAAGAGCTATACATCCCTCATTACTCTGTACTGTACCTGAAATGATGTACCGCAATAACTGTTGCCCCCCCCCCCCCCCCCCCCCCCCCCCCCCCCCCCCCCCCCCCCCCCCCATCTGCCTGACCAGTGTACCCGTTCCACTCACTTTCTCTTCCGACCACTTCTCTGACACCTATCTTTTCCCCTTCCTTTTCTTGTCTATCTAACTGCTGTCTGGGATAACTTTTTCTTTTTTCTTTTTTCCCTATTTCCCTTACTCGTTTTTTTTTAACATTGCGCAATTTTTCCCTGCTCTTTCTCGTTGACATTTTCCTTTCAAGACACCCCTCCGCCTCCGTTCGCTTGTCTACTCCGCTCCCCTACCCTGGTCTTCTACAGGGGACCCTGTACCAGTGCATCCTTTCCAGCACCAACAGAAAGCCTTCCCGGAGCCACTACTACAACCCACTACGTCTGGACTCCCTGTAGCAAATCATCCTCTGACTCGTCCCGTCAAGATCTACCGCGGAGACGCTATTTCTTGCTACTTAGGGTTCTTTAACTCCTTTCAGTGGTAGTTATCTCCCTCACCAACCCCAAGAAAGCCTAGTCATTGAGGTACGTATGAGCGGCTCCCAAGGCTCAACGGCTTTGGTTCTCCGGGCAGATTTGTAAAGAAAAGAAAAAAAGAAATAAAAAGAAAGGAAAGAAAACAGGAGGAGGGTCTAACGGGAGATTGAAGAGAGAGAGGAAGAAGATAATTAAGAAGAAACACAAGAGAAATCCCGACACTCTGGTCATTCCGGCTGCGATTATTGCTCCTCGCTCACTGTCCTGCTTGGACACGGAGTCTACCGACAGGCGACTTTTCCTTCCTCTAATCATTATTCTTTCTCCTCCTCCTGTTGTGTTTTGTCGTTTTTACAACCCCTGTCACCAGCTGCAGCTGGGCAACGCTTCTTTCATACAGTCATACTACCCTAATACCCTTTACCAAGTCGATCCTCCCGGTCCCCTGGCCTGACCTTTGCTTTGAGAGAGTGGTTGGGATATGGTTTGAATGCACTTGGAGCAAGTAATTCTGACCCACAATCCGATATCATCCTCTGCGGCACTGTTTGCTCAAAGTTCCGGACGATCCACGGGGATTCTGCAGCAACCCTGCTATGGAGGAGTCGTTTCGCCAGGAAAGTTTCAGGACCGTTTGCACAATGATCATGGTCATCTAGATGCATCCGTCGCCTCGTGCTTCTTTCTGTCCCACCTACCAACGTGTGTATGTGGGTTTTCTACTTTGAGTTCTCGTGGCGCTTACTCGGTTCGATAATATAATCACATCGTCAACATTGCCTTACTCTGAGGAGTTATTAAATTGCTCCGTGCAAGCTTCTCTTCGCAGTCAGAGGCTCTGGTTCAGTCGATCATTGAGACGATACTGTGTCTCCTAGGATAAGACAAAGCCATAGAAGCTGTGCGGAGGGTATTTTTCGAAAAGAGCTTGTGCTCATTACACAAATACTCCCTTGTTCATCAGATATCAAGACGAGCAGCCGGGGGAAGGAGACCGTATCCAGATCCAACATTATCGTCGTCCTTCTTTCGTCCATTCAAGACCCGTTCCCTTGTCGCTCGCTTGCTTCATAACTCTCGAGAATCCTTCCCTTTCAGGACAGTTAAGATCGAATCTCGCAGCCCGCCGGCCCTCTCTCCTTACCTCCACCCCGCCCTCAAGATCCTCGCAAAATCGACACTGGAAGACTTGCTGTTATCTGGCGTTCTACATTAGATTGCTTCGAGATCAGCTTTCCATTCATGAACGTCATGTCGACCTATTATGTAGGACCTTTCGGGCGTATGTTACCTGTTACCGACCGAAACTCTCCGGAAAGGGAACCAGAGCGTTCAGCTAACGAGCCAGTATCTGGAAACCATCCCTACCAACTTCCCCCACCGCGCACAATGGAGTCTCTGCAATTTGGAACAGACCCCTTTCTGTCCCGGCGAAATCAGGAAGGAAAAGGAGACTCCCGACTCGGCTCAAACGCTCATGGACACCAGCCAGCTATGAATGAACAGCTTCCTTCCGTCAGCGAGCTGTTGACCCCATCCTCTCGTTCGAGCCAATCGGCGTCACCCCATCGCTCACGGCTGTTCAGCTTTTACCATCCTACAGGCGAAAGCCCCAAGCCCGGTCTGAGTCCCCATACGGCGAGCCACCATGATACTGGTCTTGTTCCACGAACACCTCAAGGAAGACCTGAGGCCCGCGCAGACCCCTTCTCGCGGCCGACGGCCGGAAATTTGCCTTCTCTCTCACAGATGTCTATCTACACAGCCGGAAATGAGGCTAGTATGCAAGCTGGTATTCGTACAGATGTTCCACATCAACAAGCGCACCACTCTCCCTTTACACCCCAGGGTCGTGCGAGCCATGATAAGGAATTAAGGGAAGACAATTCATCACCTGTGACTCCCGAGATTGGAAGCGGGGCAGCAAATCAACAACAGACGGCCCAAGTCCGCCCTCACGTGGTCGACGAGCGGTATATAGAGGGTGAAGGCTGGTGTTACATCTACGCTGACGGGTCCCATTGTCCCAAGACCATTGACGGTGTGCCTGTGAATGCAAATTGGGGCGTGACTAAGGCTGGAAAGCCGCGAAAGAGATTGGCACAAGCCTGCCTTACCTGCCGGGAGAAGAAGATCAAGTGCCAACCTAATCTGCCAAAGTGCGACCAATGTCAGAAGTCGGGAAGGGAGTGCCGGTTTGAGAGCGCGTAAGTGACTGACACAAGATATTTTTGTTTGCCCAAGAGAATCTCGATGCTGATGAAATGGCCCTACAGACCACGAGGCCACCGCGCAGCAGCGAAAGCCAACACGCATGGCAACAGATACGACACGAGAGACTCCTCCTCCTCCTTCGTCGGCCATCATCCTTCTAGCTCTGCCAACTCGATCTACTCCGCCGTAAGGGCTTCTGAAAGCTCTGCATCCCTACCTGGCACCAATTCACAGTCACCAATGTCTGACGCCTCCATGCTTACACCCCCTGCCATCAACAGTGCCCACGAACCTAGTTTGGACTCGGATTCACATTACAGATCGAGACGACAGAGCCTCGGCAGACCATCTACTGGCGTTGAGGATCTGAACCGACGGTCTGTGGAAGGCAACTCAGCCCGTGCTACGCCTGATTACTCTGAGATCTTGATGGAAATGAGAGATCTGGACCCTCACGATCCCCTTGCGCACGAGTGGAACACCGATCCTTACGAAAACGATGCAGAACTTACAACTCACTACGTCGAGAACTATTTCACTTATGTGAACGACAGCTTGTATTATATCTTTCCCCGAAGGCGCTTTCTCTTGTGGTTAAGGTCGTGTCATACGAAATCGCTGGAGGACAAAATGCTTCTTTATTCAATGATGACATTGGGAGCGATTTTCTCGGACCGGCCTGACAGGCTTGCGGCCATGAAAAGGGCCTCACGCACGGCCCGCTACGCCGTGGAACATAGTCGTCATAACCTCTCGTTGCAGCTCGCACAATCTCGGATTATCATGAGTCTTTGGTATTACGCCATCGGTGCTCTAGAGAAGTCCTGGGATGCGGTTGGCGCGGCAGTTCGAACTGTATGTGGATTGCGGTATAACGTTGAGTTGGGAGGGGTTATTGTGGATCGAGACCGGGTTTGCGAGTATGGCTTGCATCCCCAGGCCCTAATAGAATGCCGTCGTAGGACATTTTGGGTCGCCTTCTTGATGGATGTGAGTGCTATTCCCCTGCGACCACCGTAGTTCGACATTGATAGCTAGCTAACCATTTTTTGTCTTTCTGTCTAGCGCCTGTCATGTTTTTATTCTTCAACGTCAGCATTCATTCCCTCACAGACGGCTTATCTTCGAATGCCTTGTCGCGAAGAAGTCTTCGAGGCTCAGCAATATACGACTGTACCATATTTCCAAAGCTTCCTCAACCAGCCGCCCGCATCAACCGATGATGAGCTTTCAGAATTGAGTGCTATGGCTCTCTTGATAGAAATGGTATCTCTTTGGGGAGAAGTAACGGATCACGTATTCCGTTTATCGCTGGTTCCGATGGAGTCATCCACTACACCTTTTGAGGAATTCTATACCACAATCTGCCAGCGTGCAGACGCTTGGGTTGCCAGGCTGCCGGAACATTTGCGATTCAGCACCCTGAATATGGAGAGAAGCTTTCGGGCAAGGAAACCCGATCCATTTTTCTCGATACATCTGTTATATCATGCAACAATGATGAAACTGAATAGACATGCGCGTGGCCAGGACTATCGCGCGGAGTTTGTGAGCAGGCAGGTCCGCATGGCCAGGACCCATGCGGCAGAGACCCTGCGGATTGCTTTCGCGTTAGCACATTACACGGGTGAATATGACGCATCGCGGATCGCCGTTGACTCCGCACCCCCGCAAGCGACTATTCTCAACCCGTTCTTAGGTTATGTGATCCTATCCGCAGTCGATATCCTTAGTGCAGCTGGGCTGGTAGCTGATATGCCTGAGTGCGTCAAGCTCATCAGAGGTGGCCTTGAGGCCGTCAAGGAGCTGGGTCGTTTCTGGGAGAGCTCGCTACCATTAGTGTCTCTCATCGAGGCTCGTCTGGAGCCATTGATGGAAATCCTCCATGACCCGACCAAGCTGGACCAGAAGATGGTGTTTGCTGCGAGAGGTCATTCCTTGGACAGCCGGATCCAGAAGCAGCAGTCTCCAATCACCGATGATCTATTCTATGGCGCTCTGCCCCATGACAGACTATTCAGTGCGTTGGGGCCGGAAGACACTTCATTGACAGAATCCAATATACTCTGGATCAGAGAAACGGACTGAAAGAGGTCATTGTACTCTGCTTTGTCGTCGTCCATGCACCTTGCACTGTTACGACCTGTATTAAAAGACACGACTTTTTCCTTCCTCGTGACCAATCCCCGGGTTCAACCCGACTCCATTTCCAAATCAAATATCTATCTGGTGAACGATTTCGATGACATATATCTTGCCAGCTCCAAAAGGCGTATCAAATTCATGCTTGAGCGGTTTTTAAGCGATGACTACGGGTTGGGGTTGTTTTGCTGTGCGCATTGATGATGTATACTATTGATGAATCTGATGTCTACCTAACGCTTGATTCAAAGACATGGAGAATAGTAGCACTGGTTTGCCTTAGCCTTGATTTCTGCGTATGATATCCGTATTTGATGATTCGTAGATGATGATCGCACCTCCTGTTCTGAGATCCTTACTCAATACAGTAATGTGAAATGCAGCCAAGTTTTGCTCTGTCGGCGTCAAAAGTTGAGCTATCCATTTTTGAAGAAGCACCATTGATTATGGCGGTCGCATGGCGTGTTCTGAACCCCTATATGAAAATGTAATAGAGCAACTACTTCAATTACTATCACTCAAGCTTGCCTTTTGCCATAAAAGTCGATTTCAACCAGTATCCATTCGGATTTCAGGCCCATCCACTTATCAGTCTACTTTCGACTTCACCTCTATGTCGAGACGCTCATATTAACGAGATACTCCAAATGTCAAAACGTCACTCACTACATCCGTTAACATGAGCTTTAGACAAGTTGCATCTTATTTGATGATACCGCACAGGACGAATGAAATAACGAAGATGAAGGGAGGAGTGAGGACGAAAACAAAGGCGGAGACGGAGCAACGGCATCCCGGACCGCCGTGCACTGTTTTTCTCCCGACGTCATCGAAGCAAAGAATGAATGGAAATCGGACACAAAACGTCACGCAGTACAATTGCGGTTTCTCCACGAGATAAGAAAATGGACTGCCGGTGCTGGACGCGCTAGTGGAATCTGTGCACGCGATTCTTACCCACGTATCAAGGCCTGGTTAGACGTTCTGGCGTCCGCTGCGCTGCGCTGCGTTAGCTACGATGTCCTCCGCCAGCGAGGACTGGGTAGGAGGAGGAGGAGGGGGAGCGGACACCGATGACACACACCCCCAGCTGACGAGAGACGCCTCCGGAAATAACGATTACTTGAATGAAGATGCAGACTACAGCATGATCATGTCCTACCCCGCCGAAGAGGAGGACTACTACGCCCTGTTAGGCCTCCGCCGGACTCCCGCCCCTAGCGATGCGGAGATCCGCTCCGCGTACCGCAATCTCACGCTCAGCTTTCACCCGGATAAACAGCCTGCGGAGCTGCGGGAGGCCGCGGAGCGACAATTTGCGCGGATCCAGGAGGCGTACGAGACGCTGCTTGACCCGAAGAAGAGGGTTGTTTATGATCTCCTTGGGGCGGAGGGGGTGCGGAGGGAGTGGGGTGCTGGAGGGTCGATGGGAAGGGGTGGAGAGGCGGAGAGTCAGATTGGTGTGAGGGCTCAGACGCCGGAGGAGTTTCGGGGGTGGTTTTTGGAGACAATGAAGAGGCGGGAGAGGAAAGTGTTGAATAGTTTGGTCCAGAGTAGGGTGGGTTCTTTTCTCCCCTGTCCCTCCCCTTTGCTGTCTTGCTTGGGTTTGTCGCGTGATGTCGTGCTGATTGCGGCGTGGAACGGTGACAGGGCTCGCTGACTCTCGGAGTTGATGCGTCCAACATGATTGAGGTTGACGAGGATGCCGGGGAGGTGTATATCCATATTCCCTCGCCCAGCTTATCTTCCTACGCTATCAGATACTCGTTTAAGGCGCCACTTCCCACGTCGGAGGTTCTCTTTGGAAAAGAAGAGGCCGAGGACGAGGACGATGACGAAGAGCCTGATGGTAGATCGACTCACCAGAAAGTCAATTCATATCAGGAGGCTCAAGGGCCGGAGATTATGTTCAATGCAGGTATCTCTGGCAATCTCCGGCGCTCTTTCCGTAAGATGCAATTTCAGTTCGAAGACGGGGAGATGATGATGCGAGCGGTATGTTCAGAGATGTACTGCCTTCCGCAATCATGCTGGATTGTTCTCTGACTGTTCAGCAGGTTCCTCTACCCCTGTTCATTGCGGGAAGAGACATTAGTCTGGGCGCCGGCATAAGCCAACGCTTTGCAGATGTCGCGAGCATGAAAGGGATCCTGGCCAAGCGCCCCTTTGCTTTTCTACGAGACTCGGCCTTTGCGTTGAACGCGGCACTCCTGCCGACTCCGTTGTTGCAAGGAACTATTGCCACAGCAGTACAGCCGATTCCAGGAACGAAACCGTTCCAGGTCAACACGAGCGCCATTATCGCCAACTCGCTCCTAAAAACGCCACCTATACTTGCAATGCAGGTGACAAAGGAGATTGGTGAGAGGAAGCATGCCTTCTGCTCTTGGTCCAGTGGTACCATCTCCTGGCCAACGGTGCTGCAGGTCTTATTCAGCCCGATTGCCAACCTTGGGCTCGATACAGAGTCGGCCATATCAATGACTGCTTTTACTCAGCCGAGTCAATTCCAGCTGGGATTCTTGTCCGTCCCCAAACAAAACAGGAATACAGTTGTGCTGGGTGACGACGAGGACCAGGAGGCGGCGGCGGCGGCGGAGGAGGAGGATGAAGAGGAAGCTGAACTTAGACAGATCCGCAGGAAAGCGCGCAGCGAGGCAAATGCTGCCGAGTCTTGGCAGGCGGTGGTCACTGCATCACCTCAGGAAGCAGGACTGTCCTTCACCTATGCTCGGAATATCTTCAATGGCAAGGCAGCCAGCGAGCTTGCTCGCTCTGAGTGGAGCTCCGAGGGCCATTATTCTTTGCCGCCCGCAAGCGAGCCTCGGTCTGTGCGCGTTGAAGTCCGGAGCTCGGTGAATGTTGACCTGTCCCTAGCCTGGAACATCTCCGGCACGCGCCAGGTTGGCAGGTTCACCCGCGTCGGCTTCGGAGTCGGTGTCCAAGGAGGCCGTGGCCTCGTCATGACAGCCTCCTGGAGCAGACTCGGGCAGAAGGTCTCCCTCCCCGTTGCGGTCTGTCCGATGGATGTTGTTAATGCAGATGCCGCCGCGCTTGCAGTTATCCTGCCCTGGGCGGTTTACTGCGCGCTAGAATTTGGATACATCCGCCCGAGAGAACGCAGGCAGCGCCGCCGCGCCATTGCTCGGCGGCATAAGCAGCTGAAGAGGTTGATTCCGAAGAAGAAAGCAGAAAGCCAACAGGCAATCGAACTTATGGCCGAACATGTACACCGGCGGCAAGCGAGGGAGGAAGAGCAGGGTGGTCTGGTCATCACCAAAGCTGAATATGGCCATTATCCGTCGCCGAAGAGGTGGACAAATGACAGCACTAATGCCGCTAAGGATTTGGAGATCGCCGATGTGACGATACCTGTCGCTGCGTTGGTGGACCACGGCCAGCTGGTGATAACAAAGGACACAGTCAAGGTCAGCACCGTGCAGTAACACTATTATGGACTTCACTAACCGTTCATTAGTTCCAAATTCTCGGCTTCTACGATCCAGCGCCTCTTCTCCCGAAGAAGCTGAAGATTTGGTATACATATCGGGGAAAAGAGCATTTCGTGGAAGCAAACGATTCGGAGGGCATTGCATGTCCTATGCGCACACATCTAGTTGGTTGAACGAGATCTGATCAATTTGATCTGATGATTTCGCTTGATCCTAAAGCGTTCTCTTTATATTGTCTCTACTCCTATAATCATCGCATCTTCTCCCCTCTTTTCACCCTTATCCCGCTCAAATTATCGTCATCCTCAAGACCGCAAGACTTGGCTTTTTCGATATGGTCATATAATTAGTGAGTACCATAGACATGTCATTATCCCTATTTGGACAGGATTGAGAGACTAGTCACTTTGTTCTTGGTGTTGTTGGTATGTTACATTGTACAATATCACAACTACATAGTTATAGAAATTGTCAGCAAGAGCACAAGTGTATAATCAAATAAGTAATCCTATAACTTCTAGCTATCAGTCAAGTCTTCTCAGTCGTCCAGGGCTGCAGGCGATTGCTGTGAGGAAGAATAGCTACTACGGTAGGTCACACAAACCACTCGCGCACTTCCGCCTGTTGGCCGCCAAACGAAAAGCAATCATCGCCATCCAAAAGTTTGACCATCAACGTCATTCACCCTTTCCACCGTTGCCCCCTTTCGACAATGACATCCATTGCAGAGGGACTTTTTAAGTCTTTACCAAAGCCGAAATATACCGGCGAGGATGAGGAGGTGCCTCAACATGCCCAACCCCGTGGTCCGCGGATCGTGGGCGCCGACCAGATTGATCAGACTCAGATTGTTTTGAGGGTGGGTTAATCCGTCTCTACACTTCAGAATAGTTTTTATTTTACTTGTGTGCTGACTATCTTGGTTTACGATGTATAGAGAACCGGTCCTCCCCCATATGGCAACCGTGCAGGATGGCGACCTCGAGCACCTGAGGATTTCGGCGACGGTGGCGCGTTCCCCGAGATTCTGGTCGCACAGTATCCCCTCGACATGGGCCGCAAGGGTACTGCGTCGACATCGAACGCGCTTGCGGTGCAGGTTGACGCGGAGGGAAAAGTCAAGTACGACGCGATCGCCCGCCGGGGTCACAGCGAGAACCGCATCGTCCATGCTTCCTTCAAGGATCTGATTCCGCTCCGACAGCGGGTGGATATGGGAGAAATCTCCCTAGACCGTCCATCGGAGGAAGAGGTGGAGGCGCAGATGGAGAAGACCAAGAATGCGCTGACCAGCCTGGTCGAGGGCGCTGTGGCGGCGCAGAAGCCGAAGAACGTTAGGGGTGGTCGGAGGGCAGAGCCTACGTTTGTTCGGTACACGCCTGCCAACCAGATGGGAGATACTACGCGGAAAAACGATCGGATCATGAAGATCGTCGAGAGACAGCAGGATCCCATGGAGCCGCCCAAGTTCAAGCACAAGAAGATCCCCCGCGGCCCGCCCTCGCCACCTCCGCCCGTTATGCATTCTCCGCCTCGAAAGCTGATGGCAGAAGACCAGGAGGCCTGGCGGATCCCACCTCCCGTGTCGAACTGGAAAAATCCCAAGGGTTACACGGTCCCTCTGGACAAGCGTCTCGCTGCGGACGGACGGGGACTACAGGATGTTACGATCAACGACAAGTTCGCTCAGTTCGCCGAAGCCCTGTTTACCGCGGACCGACATGCCCGTGAGGAGGTACGGCTGCGCGCACAAATGCAGCAGAAGCTGGCGGAGAAGGAGAAGGCCCAGAAGGAGGAGCATCTCCGTGCCCTGGCGCAGAAGGCCCGCGAGGAGCGAGCCGCAAGCAGCCGTCGCGATTCTCGTGCGCGGTCACACACGCGCAGTGTCAGCCGCAGTCCATCTGCTTACTCGCGGTCTGCCACGCCCAGCGATGACGAGGAAGCGGCTCGGGAGCGTGAGCGCATTCGTCGCGAGCGCCGCCAGGACGCCGAGCGACAGCTGCGCCAGTCTCGTATGGGCACGGAACGACGAATCCAGATGATGGCCCGTGAGCAGAACCGTGACATCTCGGAGAAGGTCGCGCTCGGGTTAGCCAAGCCCACCCAGACATCCGAGTCCATGTGGGACTCTCGGCTCTTTAACCAGACAAGTGGCATGCAGTCCGGGTTCAACGAGGATAATCCCTACGATAAGCCGTTGTTTGCCGCGCAGGACGCGATCAACAGCATTTACCGACCTCGGGCTCAGCTGGATGTGGATGACGAGGAGGGAGCTGAAGGAGAGATGAGTAAGATTCAGAAAACCAATCGCTTCGAAGTTCTGGGCAAGGCCAAAGAAGGTTTCCGTGGCGCAGCTGAGGCTGAGGTGAGATTTCCATTTCCCTTTTCGTTTTACCTTCTCGTAGAAAACCTTGCATGAACTATCACCGTGTAGTCAAACAACTCAGCTGACTTTATCCTTCCTCGCAGACCCGTGACGGTCCCGTTCAGTTTGAGAAAGACACAACAGACCCCTTTGGCATCGACAGCATGATCGCCGACGTAACCGGGGGAGCCGGACAGAAGCGCTACGGGATCCAGGAAGTCGAGCGCGAGGATCGGGGGTCGAAGCGCGCAAGAGTCGATGATGATTAAAGCGTATCCGCGTATTCGTACATCTCTTTTCCCGGGATCTTGTTTCGTGTATCGTCCTGACTTCCACTTATTCGGAGATGGTTCATGCATTGCGGGCGTTTGCAGTCTTTGTCCTTACGTTGTATCTACGAAATGGGAACCATATTTACTTTGAAAAGGCTATCATTTGATGGGTATATCGCTTTGTGGTTGCAGTTAGAAAGCAAGGAGAGGCGATCGAAGCATGGGTAATCCTGTTCCTATCAACACTCTGAATCTAAATAAAGAAGAATCGACTCCAAGAAAAGAGCTCGTGATACATCGCTTCCATGTTTGAGACTACGAACATGAACATTTCTACACCAAGTTGCAAAAATGCAAATGAGAGGATTGCCCGACACCCCATTTCCCTTATCTCCGTGACGGTGCCGCGTTTCCCTATCTGCACGGCTACATCATCCCCAAGGGAGCTGAAACTCCCCGTCGATGGCGCCACGTTTGGAGGAGGGATGGAGTAATGGGGTATAATCGCAAAGAGGGGATGCTATCTGGGGTCGCCAGACAGAGATAGATAGCTAGACAGATAGACAGTTGTAATTCTTGCAGCGACTCAGCACCACCCACCTGGCACTCCTAGCAGCAACAGGGATGGACCGGATGATCGCCCATGAGGGATGGATGATTGGCCAGTCGCCGACCAGACCAAAGTATCATTGATGCGAGTGACAGGAAGATACCAGTTCGTAGGGTTAGGGAGGAATGATCATCCGACTCGGCAAGCCCGTGCGAACCTTGCAGCTAGCTAGCTTGAATAGTCATGACTTATGAAACAACGATCGCATTGAACAGCAGAGTAAGATTCTGATTGAAGCGCTTCAAGCGCAATCGCAAAAGGTGTTGGGGATTGGATTGGATTGGGAAATATGACAGTCCAGCTGCATGGCGCATTGAGTTTTAGCGGATTGTGTCACTTCTGAGACGGGATGAGCTCGAGTGAGGAGGTGTATAGACTAGGCACTACACTTTTTTTTTCCATGCAGTCTAAAGCATTAAGATGGCGCCATTGCGATGGCATCATTTCCTGATCGAGTTGGTTGATGTTGCTGATGGATCCCCCTGTTCGTGATGAGGTCTTTAGTAGAGGTAGTACGGAGTAGTGTACCTAGTAGATAGGAGGAATAAGTTTGACTATTCGAGCACTGACTCCACCTTGTTCAAATGACTGTGTCACGGTGACCCTTTTGGTGATGGTCTCACTAAATAGAACTACCTCGTATCTCCCAAGCTGTCGGAGCTTTTCCCCAACAGATAGAGTGCCCTAATGGAGCGAGTCCATCACAGTACCTCCCCGAAAAATTTAGAAAATGGTGGAGGGGGGACAAGCAGTTAGCCCATTTTCCTTCCTAGCCCCATCCATTGGCTTGCCACAATACGCCGTATGCAGGATTGATTGATGGATGTGTATGTATGCGCCAGAGACAGCAAATGGATTGATAGCAAGCGAGTGTGGTGCCTGACTAGCCACCTCACAGAAAGTTACAACACCCTGCAAATCGAGCAGAGAGGAAAGAGGAAAAATGCGGGGAGCGGATGAACAGGAAGACCAACCATTCACCGTCAGCTGCTCCCTCGAACCGTGCGCTGGGGGAGGGGGTCATAACTCATAACGCACCATTTTATTCTGAGCTTATACTTTCTTACTATTATTTAGTTAGTATCATCTAAGTATTTATTATTATTCCTATAGACTAGAATGACCCCCACAGTAAAACTACGGAAGCAGCGCCTAGCGCGGGGTGGCGATGGACGCAGATTTGCTGGTCAGCATGGTCTCGGTCATGGTCATGGTCACGGTCATGGCTGGGAATAATAATTTACTGATAATGGCTCTGATAAGCAGCGAAGGTGGAGCCATAAAAGCTGGAGATAAAGTCTACCTTTTGACCTAAAGGAACTACGTAGAGCCCCTTTGGACCAGTCACTGCTGAGAATCGCCTTGCAGAGGGGATTTGCTGAAAAGGTTATAAGTGAGGATAAAGAATCACTAGCTCAACTCTTTACTTTCAGAGACAATCATATATATTCATTCATTCATTATCCCATTTCCGGTATATCTACTCGACAGTGGAGCTTCCTGGCAGAGAAAGAATAAGACTTTCTTTGCTTTTTCCTCTTAACCACCTCCTTTGCTTCCCCATATTCTTCGAATCGATTTATCAGAAATTCAGATTCAACATTCTGTACTCCGTCCAGTGCGAACGTCGACTGAGTGTGGCAAGAATCAATTGGTGTTGAAGCGAAAAGAAGAACCTTAATGCACTTTACCCTCGCCCAAAAAGGAAGGCCACTTTGAGTCACCACTAACTGGAGATACAACCATCCATCCTTTCCGTTCTTCCTCCGCTCTGCTTTACAGCCTACATATCATCTAAACTGCATTCGATCCTACACCCTTTTGCCAGTCTACATTTTAAAATAACATCGTCAACATCGCGGCATTCTTGCGTGCTGGCTCTTTTCGATCCTATCATTTCTCCGAACAATGGCGTAACTCCACTCCGCAGACCAGAACAATGAAGACACAGGGCTTCGGGCCATCAAGAACATACAGGAGGAAAAAGAAACGACTACTACATTGATGTGTGCCGCGCTCTTTGTTCCATGGAATCTGGCTTTTACTCGGATCTATATTTATACCCGTTTCTTTCATTATCATTCGCGTCCCAGTGACACTGTTGCCTATTGCCCTAACATCAACTGTACTGTCCACTGAGACAGCCTCATCTGTACAACTTCAAACTGGCCTTTCCATACCTACTGCCTTCTCTTTGTGGATCTTCCCCCGACTGTACCTACGAGTTCGATTCCGCTGCTTATACTTTCAAATCACTCGAGGTCTCATATCAAGAGTACCTCACTTTTCCTTAGGATCCAGCTTGTGGAAGACCGAGCATTGGATCCCACGGAACAGCCTATTGATATCATTTGTTATCTGACCGGGAGCAATGATGGATCATTCACTGTCTCTTATTTCTGCTCACGTCCAATTTATGGTAAGTCTCCATCTTGCTGTTCATCAATCAGCCTATCCATCTCCCGTCAGGATGATCCGTATAGATTATTGTTGTGCAAGGCTTGTTTTACTAACCACAACCATCGAGGCACAGGACGACCGACTGGCTTTGGTGCATATACCGTTGGATCTCTACCCGTATTTCTTGACTCCGATACTACAGGTCCTCTTCCACGAGGTACCCCCCGTTGACCAGAGTCATGTGGAGGTCTTGAAGAACGGCTCCAGAGATGGCCTCAAGCATGCGCAACCCGCCTTCTTGAATTTCTCTATCACCCCGGTAGAATGCTCCATCATGTGCCCTAGGCAGCTTGCCAACAAGTATTTTGCACCCATGATCGATAACTTCGTTCAAAACCATGCCTCTACCCAGAGCCGCCTGTCCATCAGTCAGGACGATTTCATAGCCATGCAGGTGTACGGCGAGGGTCTGGAAGCTGGCCAACGCGTGCTTGAGTTGACGAGTCCTCTAGCGATGGCAGGAATGTATGAACGTCCCCGAACTCCGTTCCGTTTATATGACGATTGCTGACTTTTACTCTCGCAGTTCTATCTTCTTTATCTCCACTTACTTTTCCGACTACATCATTGTGCCGCTGCGCAGTAAAGCACAGGTCATTGAAGCGTTGGAGAAGCGAGGGTTTCAGTTCGAAATCACCACCGAGGCTTTCATAAATCCCAATCAAAGTCAGTACAGCAGCTATAGCAGTCCGGGTTCATCTCGTTCCGCGAGTAGTCTTGGTTCTCCGCCGGCAACTCCTCCTCCCTCGACACTCGACGAACTGCAGGGACGAACCTTTGCCTCCCTGCGGAAGAACCAAATTGTGCCGTCTGTCGATCGATCCCTTCGCTTGGTGCAATGTGCGGCCCATCACCCATACAGCAGTGATGCTAGCTCAATATCAATCCTCCGCACGGCACTGACGACTGCACTGGTTGTGGACAGACCACGCTTCCTCTCACTCACTCTGACAGCTGCCGACCCTGCAGCCTCGCTCTTGTTGGAACAGCGGCTCCTGCCCCGATTCTTGAATGATGGTACCTCGTCTGCCGAGTCTACTGATGAGACAAGCCTGCTTCTGGGGTCCAAGGAAGACATCCTCGTCCCTATCACGTTGGATCTACGCAAACTCCCTCTTGAGGCCACCGGTATTGTTTGCGGTGTTGCCAGTCGATTGGCCGACGCTACACATGCCGCCTGGGATGAAAGCACCGAAGCATCGACCATTGCTTTGTCGCACTCTTTTAACGGTGCCTTCTCCTCTGAAAGCTCTCTCAATCGCTACTTCTCGTCCAGTGTGGACTCTGGAGGACCAGTCAGGCCCCCTGCTCAGAATCCCGCGCACCGAACACCCAATGGCGATCCGTTCACACTCTCAACCCATCATCTGCAGCCAGACCTTGACACGTCTCTGGAGGCCGTCGAGATCAGCTTCCTTAGCACTGCACGTGCAGGGACAATCCTTGTCGGTGAACACGAACTACATCGAGCAATGGATGCGCTCGAGGCCGAAAGCCATGAACCGGACCTACCGGCTGGTGTGCTCGAAGTGTGACCCTTGCTTTAGTCACATCCATGTCGCCGTCTTCCTCCATTTCTGTGGTCTATAATTGCTCGGCGAAACCTAAAAAAACTTACGACAGCTGCATGACTCAAAAAATGATATCCTCAACGCGTTGACTTTTGATCTGATCAACTACAAAACAGCAAATCGGCGTTTCGGAATTGTTGGCTCAAAAAGGTTTCTGGTGTTTATCGAAGTTTGTTAAAATCATGTTACCCCGGTCGAATGGGGTCACAGTGCATCTTGGTTGGTTACTGTTTTGGACGAGAATGCACGGTTACTGTATAATATCAAACTCACTTGCAGAAAAACACTCTACTCAGAAGATACCCTTGGGTGGAAATGATGACATTGTGTGAAGGATGCGCAGATGGATGATGGCGATTTTCTTTCTTTCCCTGTCTGACTAAGGTACAGTCCCTACTAATGCATAATGTAAAGTGAAATGAAACAAATACCATCCAGTAGGCGAGCAGTACATGCATATCGCAAGATCCACTCCAATTCGAAACGTATGATATGGTGCCAGATGGCTTCAGCAAACAATCGCCACGAGGTGCAGCAGTATCAGTGACGTCTCAGCATCTTTCGCACCAAGTCCAGTTTGAGACTCCGCAGTAGCTATCTCGTCTACCGGGTAGACAAACAAAGGTCTGCAACTTGAAACTCGACCGGCGTCCGGTACTGACACGTCACCATGCAGCCTCATCATTGGCTCATTTGCTGTGCATGCAGCACGGCGCATGGTGGAGACCTAGCCTACCACACTCGTGGATCAATAGCCGTGATCCGAAGAGAGAAATCCCCTTGCGACGGCTGACGAGAATCATGCCGATGCCGATATGCAGAATGCACTATGCACTACGCAGCGATATGTGCCAGCGGGTCAGTGGTCCAATAGCAGCTGGCCAGGTTGACAGGACGATGTAGCTCTGTTTGCAATGTGGACGTTGAGCTGAGGGCTGATTGCGTGCGCGACAGAGGTTGCAGATTACGGTGTTCGGCTGCATGGTCCGAAAGGGGTTTGTATTGCATGACGTTCTGGACATTTCTGTGCGCGGGGATGGACTGCCGGTTGACCTTGCAGCTGGCCTCATTAATTTATTTTGGTGGGCGGCCAGCGGTTGAATCTGGTGCTCTTGGAGAATGGCTTCGGTGGATCTGTGTCGGTTCGGATCGCAGGCCATTGAAGAACCTTCTGTTTCAGGATACACGCGAGGTAGGGAAGGTAACCTCGTGTCGTCCCCGATGGAAGGCACGAATTGACAAAGCTGCAGTCGATGTCACAAGGAGCTCCCTGGTTGGCCACAACGATCCGGATACTCTTCTCGTTCAGCCGTAGATTTTGACGCTGCCTGCAAAGAACCATCATTAGCAGTCTATGCATACAAGTACAAAGGTTGACATGGTTTGGCATACCATCGGAACAGCCCCCAGCCCAGCAGCCTCCTTTCTCATTCCATGCTACGCAGCTAACAACCTTCACTCCACCCCCCGCCGGGACAGTTGCAATAATCTCTCCACTGAGCACATCCCAAGCAAAGACATGAGCCTGTAGCGACGGATCGCCTTTCTCCGACTCACTGCCACTAAGAACGACAGCGTCTCCCTTGGCAAAGACAGACCGAATCCTAAGCTCGCTATTGCGGTACGCCACCCTCGCACCAGTAGGGCCTAGCTCGAGACCCTCCTCGCCCCCAAAAGCCTTGAGCAGCTTTCCGTCTGCTTGGTCCAACATCCGGATCCGGCTGTCGAGGGTAGAAACCAGCAGGGCATTGCCGTCCGCAGAGCACCGGACGCTCGTCACGGGGTGAGCAAGGACGTCAACAGTTGTTCGGCCCATGCGGACATCGTAAATGCGAGCGCGGCCATCATAGCTGCCACTCGCGATAGAATACGTCGGCATGTGTACGTGTAGCGAGGAAACGGTATCGCCGGCCTCGGTGAGGGTCTGGATAGGCTTGTGTGATTTGGACCGGGTGTCCCACAGGTTGATGGTTGTGTCTGCGCTTCCTGCGAGAAAAGTCAGAATTGCGGATTGTTCTACTACAGCAATAGACAGGAAAGGCTCGAGAGGGTACTCACCAGATACCACCACGGAATCGCCCTCGCCAGCGAACTGTACGGCCTCGACCCTGGCGTTATGTCCGGTCCATCGCCGTGTAGTGATTCCTTGTTCGACATCCCACAAAAATACCTGGCGGTCTCCGCCGACGCTTGTAAAACGCGCATTGTCTGCTGCGACAGCCACGTCCAGGACTGAGTACCCGTGCGCCTCATATTTTTGGATTGGAGAAGTTGTCTCGTGACCAGTGCTAGAGCTGTTGTTCGGGATGGCGCGCGAGAGATGAATGGCGCGATCAGCTGAGCCAGTGAGGACATATGTGCCTGGATAGCTAGAGAAAGTCACAGCATTTACCGGTCCTGAAACTGCTTAGTTGATGTAGAGCGTGGCTAGGGGATGGGGCAGAAGCTCACCATTGTGCGTTTTGAGAGTATGGACAAGCTTCGTGGGAAATTGTTTTGTTGCCGGCATTGATGGCTCAGATTTTTCGGCGTAAGATAGGGATGAAGGACAACGAAGAGGTAGATCTTAGGTGACGAAGGTTCTCGCCTTAGAAGTAACAATTGCGGAGAGGCTTTGTTATTTCCGTCGAAGAGAGCTATGTCACCTCGAACCGACCCGCTCATGCTTGAAGAAAGCCCCACCAGATAAGGCTTCCTACATAGTAGCTCTAAGGTATAACCAAATCATGGGCAAAGATTAATTCTGTATTGACACGCTACTGAATACAAATGGGTTATTATCAAGGATGTAACGAGATCATCGCTAGCTACCAGCGGCTAAAGAAATGATACAGCATAATAAATGCACCAGTGGAAGATAGCGCATCAAACGGCCTAGATCAAATATGTTTGTCCCCCGAATGCTGAGAAAAAAAAGAAAATAGGCCGAAAAGAAACTCGAGGGGTAATCAAGAATAGACAATATTAATCAAATCGAAGCAGTTTTCCTTTTTCCACCGCGCGTTCAAAATTCGTCGCCGTACCCAAGGTGCCCGAGAGCAATTTAACGGCGTCCGTGACTCCGGGTGGTCGAGCCCTGCAGCGCCTCGATTTCTTGCTCGAGCGCTTTGATTCTGTATTCAGTCAGTACTGTCTCCATACTTCCTTATAGAATAAGGATTGCAGGAAGAGGTGCACATACGCAGCGTGAGTGGCCTCCAGGTCCTTGTTGAGGCGGTCTCTTTCGGAAATGAGCTTCTGCTCCCACTGGCGGAATCGCTGTTCTTCGACCTTGACCTGCTCGGTGAAACGCTTCCGCAGAGCCTCCTCCTCTTCCTTGAACTTGGGGTTGTCCAGCTTTCTCGGTCTGGCCTCGCCGAACTTTCTTGTTTCCATCTGCTGTGCGCGGTAGGCTTCGTAGTGCTGCTCCTCGGTGGTATGGATGAGATCAAGCATGTGAGTGCGGATCAGGATAGAGCGCAGCTTCTTGAAGTCACAGTGGTCCTCGTTCTCGACTTCAGCAACACCCCAGGCATATTGCCGACCCTTTACTACCCGGTTGTCGTTGGTCTTCACATCTTTCTCGGATCCAATCACAGCGAAGGGCATAGCAGCCATCAGACTGCGAGCGTGGGCGGCAGCGTGCTCGTCGTCCTCTTCGATAGGAGGGGTGTAGATCTTGATGCCTTGGGCTTCGACAACAGCTTTGACCTAGAATAGGTTGGACTAGTCAGTATCTACCAGTACGGGAGGCCATTCATCCGGAAGTCTCACTCTCTGCTTGAAACGGGCAAGATCAGTAGGGCTAAGAGTGTCGGCCTTGGCAATAACGGGAATAAGGTTGACTCGAGAGCTCAGCCGCTTCATGACCTCGATATCAAGAGGCTTCAAAGTGTGGCCCGTGGGTCTGATGAAGTACAAGCAGGCGTGAACACGCATATCGATCTTGTCTGTGCGGCGGGGTTGCTGCTCCTGAAGCATGTACGATTCGTGCTGGTCATCAAGGAACTCGATAATTGGTTGCCAGGAGTCACGGTTGTTGACATAGTCGCCGAAGCCGGGGGTATCAATGACGGTTAGACGGACTGTACTCGGCCGCATCATTACATTAGTAACCATTCACCAGGGTGAGGAATCAAAAGTTAACCTTTGAAGAACTTCTCCTCTAGCTCTGCCTTAGTAATCTCGATCTCAACCGTCCGGTCAATCTGCTTCTGATGGCGACGCTTGTGATCGGCATAGTTCTTGATAGTGGTCGAAAACAGGGTGTTGATAAACGTGGTCTTTCCCAATCCCGATTCTCCAGCAACCTATACTCGGGAATCAGCATACAGCTTCATCTTGGCTGACTGGCTCGAGACAGACCATGATAGTGAAAGCCGCACCCCGCTTAGCGACAATTTTGTGTCTGTATAGCTTCAGTTAGACTTATCCACGCTTCATTCTCGGCTGATCGAAGCTGCGTGACAGTTGGTACACACCGCTGATTAGGGAGCTGTTGTCATAAAGAACTAGTTAAAATCTCTTCTTCCATTCAAATCCATCCCCAAAGCATTGATTGAGTACTTACGTTGGCAATGCCAATAGGGGAAGCAGTTTCCGAAGTCGTGGCCATGATGGTAAAGGGGGAAGGTAGATGGAGGTGAAATCGGATTAGAAGACAACTGATTGATCAAAATTGACAACTGTTGCGAATCAAAAGTCAATTGATTAAGACGACCTAGAGAATGAGGGGAAAAAAAGCCGTCGGAAAGGGACTGTTTCTCTCTCCTGTCTCAGCAGTAGTAGTAGAACGTTCTCCCTGGTATGGATCGGTCTGGTATGGATTGGAATTGGCTGTTGCTGCCCCTGAATCACAGACCCGGTGGAGAAGCAAACACCAGCAAACAAGCAAACGTGACCTTTGGGCCCCGGATAGCGCTAGTCCTTATTGGAGCTAGCGTCTTCGGCCTCGGATTAACAAATGATCAGCTCTCTTATCGCCC